GGCTGACTTGGAGACCTGGAACCTTGGCTTAGTAATGAATGAAGGGAATCTCTTCGAGCTTCCTCTATCAGTGGCTCTAGACTGTGTCCGCGTTTCTTTGAAGTTCAATTTCATTTGGCTTTCCTTCATCGTCCCAGTTGGTGGTTTTGTAATATTTTGCATAAAGGATGAGCTGAATTGCTCCAGATAACGTTCCCAGACCATTGGGTATCTATCATTAGTTTGAACAAAAAAAACAATACAGATTAATTCAAAATGTAATCTCACAAGCAGAGTGAGTTTGGGAATAAATAATACGAGTGAATATAATTAATTACCAGGATGTAAGGATCAAATTTGAGGAATGCATAGGCGAACCAAATACCTCCATTGCAAAAGTTTGCAAGTGAGAGGTAAAATGGCATGAATTTCACACTCTTGGTGCTGATCACTCGACGCTATATATGATTTATATTGTCAGTGTATATAAGGCATTCTATTCTATGACGTAACGTAAATCTTAGAAGGAGGGATTAATACCATGACAGTGAGGGGCGAAGCGTACATAGCAACATTCATAATGACAGCCAGTATACCAACGAGCATTGATCTATTCTTGGTTCCATGAAGGAAAGTAAGCGTAACGAAAACGAGGATCGCAAAAAGGATTATTTCAACTCCCAAAAAAATAGAAATCTTCTTCTGTTATACATATAAAAAAAAACATGTTAGTTTAAATTACAACGCAATAATATGAGTAACATTGAAGAGCTATGTTGCTCGAACTCTTCAAATATTTATATGGTACGTGTCGAGTTTTATCTGACACGGATGCAACATCATTTTTGAAGAGTTGGAGCAACAAAGTAAATGAGTATGTACGTACACGCTTTGGCCCGTCGGAATAGATAAAGAAGACGATTATATATGAGAATTCAATAAAGAGACCAATGCCATTAATAGTAACAACAAGAAGACTGTCAGGATGAACAAATGGCATTCCATAAAACACCCAAACTGCACAATTCAATGCAGTTACAACGTAAGGATCTGGTTTGAATTGCATCACCGTCTTTGCTTTCCATATTTTTATGAACGTTGGCCTATATGCATGCACGCACCTCGATTAATTTAACTAAATTGATAAATAATTAATCATAATAGTTCACATTATGCCAAGGGGACTTACATGGGAGATAAAAAGAGGCAAAACGATATAACATTTCCTGCATGAAGAATTATTGAATGTTAAAGATCGTTAATATAAAGAATTAATGAATAGTATGATAAGGCGCTGACCGATAATTCCAACGATCGTCCGTATTGTATCTGTATTCATTTTGTCTAGATATCTGATTAATAGTGGAAGAGGAGATTAATATGTAACTTCAAAACTAATTAAGCAAAGGAGTAAATTGGTGAATTTCAAGGCTACAAGATCATATTTAATTTGTATATATGGGATTTGAAACCTCAGTGGTCAAAATTAAAACCCTTATATGTTGAATTATTTAAGGAAACATATGGAATTCTGGAAGTATTTATACATGACAAATAGGTGAGTAAATTTTGCTCAGTTGGTTACTAGTGAGAAAAAGTAGTAAGAGTCCAAGTGAAAATAGCTTATTTTGTTGCTATATAAATGGAACTTTATCTACAAAATTAACCACAACCATGTGACTTTTCTTTGTTTGAGGATTTTGTGGTAATGCTAGTAAAGAGTGACCATACATTTATCCAAATATTTGTCAACTAATTGATCTCATTAGCCGTAATTTATGGTCACTACATCACTACTGGTAGTGAGCAGTGACATAAATTGTATAACTAGATTTAATTTTTTTTTTCTTCTCTTATTTTTCCATTATCGAATGATCATAATTTAGGAGAAAGAGGGTTTGACTATAGAAAAAATCATCTTAATACTTTGATTTTTGTTCTCAAATTTTACAAAAGCTATGTTGTATCAAATATAATGGTTTTACCATATCTAATTCAAAATTAAACTTGAATTTAATTACAATTTTAATTACACCATCATTCTTAAACAGAGATCGTCGATTTGAGTCCTTAGGTAGGGAATCGTCTTTGTTCCCATGTGGATATTGGATGGGAAAAAAACTAGGATCTCTTTGACAATGAATGGGAATTATTCTCCTCTTCCAATTATATTTTTAAAAGCTAAACATCTTCTCCAACTTCAAGCAATAAATATTCTTCCTCCTTTATTATAATATTTTAAACCTTTTAAATATCTAACTTTCCTCTAAATTACAACCAATCACTTTTTATTTTTTCTAATATCATGATTTTTTTTTCTCTTTTTAATCTATAATAATTATGGACTAACTTATCAAGCAAATAAAATCATCACATATAGAGTAGTATTCCTTACAAAAAAGTTGAAGGATTCATGTCAAATCCATGCAAAAAAAATTAAAATGTGTGTATGATTTTTGTAGTCTAAACTCCATATTCTCTGTGGGTGGTAGTGGTAGCTATCAAAATTGTCCAACTCATCCCATTTGCCAGGGCATTTGTACAGTGCAATGATAAGCTTATAAGTAAAAGAAATCCCCTATTTTTTATTAATTTTTTATGTGAGGTTTGGTAACCGTATTAAAGTTTGATTAATTCAAATTCATACATTGCAAGATTCATTTCTGATGCGGCATGACACTCCTTAAGAAAAATCAAAATTTGAACCTGTAACTTCTGATTAAGAATAAATCGCGTATTATATATAGTGCATTCAAACATTACATTTATTCAGTTGAAATAATGCTTGCTGGGTTAAATTAACTTTCTTTACGCCAGCTACATGATGGATCCTCGTGAACTTCCCCTTTTTATATATTACAATTTCCATTGAAAAAAATAATATAGTATTATCATTGAAACGAATATTATCTTGTTTTGACTATAATGTTAAAATAGCATATGATTATTTGGACTAATAATTATATCTTGCAGTTGTGTAGACTCTTCTCCTATCTTTGTTAAGTTTCCATATTTTATTCATTAATTAAACGCCTGTATCTATCAGGTTATCAAAAAGTATGGTTATATAATTAAGAAAACTTGTATATTATTGTTTAATTATAAGGTATGAAGAGAAAGTGTTGAATAAATGTGTTACTAGTGATGTTGAACCTTCAACTTTTTCCGCTAGGATATATTGGTTTAATACGTAACAAGTGATTGAAACTATAGTTTGGGGGAAATTTTGGTTTTGGATAATTCAAAGAAGACACATCTCAAGTCAATAATACTCATTTCTTACACAGAATAGTATTACTATATGTTCAATTTTTACATAAAGACGAGAGCCTCCAAACTCAATGTCAAATCTTATATATCTAATTATGTAATGTGATAAAATTAGCCCACAAAAATTATATAGTTCGTATAAGTTGATTGACATATACCTATGAAAATCTTGTCTAAATATTTTCAAAAGATAATTTCTAATTTGATATATATATTATATATATAGCCAGAATAAAAAAATAGTTTTATTAGGTACTAAAAATACTCATAAAAAACTATTAAAGCAAAAACTTAATGAAAATTAGATAGGGTGGATTATGACCCATAATATAGATAATTTTAACGGATCAATAACGGGCTCATTTAATGACTTATTTTATTTTGATTCACTCAAATTCAACTCAATTCTTCAAATTGACACTCTACAATGCGACTTACGAGTACCAACATGAACTAGGCGTTTCGAGAAACAGTATATGCAAATGTTGATACATTAGTTGCAAATCAATATTTGAATTAACCAATATTTCCATTATTTTAATCAAACTTTGAAATATATGTTTGATGAATATTATCAAGTGAAATTATGGGTTTCACTCGAAGAGGTTTAATTAAATTTCATTCAACCAAAATATATTATCTAACAAAAATTGATGAACGGCGTTTACTCTCTTTTTTTTTCTTTAATTTTAATGATATATATGTGTGGAGGTCTCACACATTTTCATTTTTTTCAACTTCAATCAAATATTGTCCCAACAAATCTAAATTTTAATAATATATATGTGTGGAGGTTTCACACACATAATGGGTGCGACTTTAATTCTCATTGTCCCACTACTCCCTTCCACTTCCTTAATCCCTCGGTACAGGAGTGCATCTAAAGATATATATATTATAATATACAAACGTATTCATAATCAGAGGTCTCGAGCTTGAGTCTTTGAATATACGAAAAGTTTTGTTGAGAGTGTCATCTCAAATATAGTGCGTAACCAATTTAGTCAGAACTTCTTTGTTTAAATTTTACATTGGAATAAGAAATTCACTTGATATATATAAATAATTTTGAATTTTGACTTCACCTATAACTTAATGTAATGGTAGAAAATAATAGCCTCCCTTAATATAACCATTATGGTGCACCATACTATCATCACAACACATCACTCTCGAATAATAATAATATATTTAATATAACTTCATCCGATTAAATTTTAAAAATATGGGATATAGATAAATTTTACTTCAATAGTAGACGTCGACAAAAAAGCTATAAATGAGGCCCATTTATGACTCACATTTCTGATACCTTAATAGAAGTACTAAACAAAAACATCAAAGTACGCCAGGCGTACTACAAATTAATTTACCTTCAAATTCTTATTTTCCTTTTTTTCCTAAGCGAGCAGCGTAATTAAATTTGGATTCGGGCTGAACACAATTTACCTCCCTTCAAATTCTTGCTTTACTCTGTCAGAGCTTTTTCACCACCACATAAAACAAAAAACAGAAAAGGAAAAACTTTAAAAATCCCAAAGATGATGAGTAGTGTTAAGTGTGTATACTTCCAATAACTCAGACTCTTACTTCATGCTTTTCTTCTCTATTATTTCCCCTTCTAATTCTTATCGAAAAATTCAAAATCATGTTTCTTTATCCTTATTTCAACCAAGCTGCTACGTGTTATTGATCACATCAATTTAATTGAATTGCTCACTCTCTAGGTGTTTGCTAAAAAGAGTATGGTAATGGAAATTGTGGTCTCTGTTATGTTGCTGTTAGTTGGTATAGCAGTTTTGGTGTTCATTCATGTTTGTATAGTTGGGAGAGCTTTCACTAGCAGAAATGGGATCAACGGTACGATCTTTAACCAGACAAATGTGAACAGACATACAAGTATGTCACAAGAGGATATAAAGAAATTACCCTGTTTTGATTACAAAATGGAATCTACGAGCCCTGTGGATTGTGCTGTGTGTTTAGAGAATTTCAAGGTTGGTGAAAAGTGCAGACTACTATCAAAGTGCAATCACAGATTTCATGTTCAATGCATTGATTCTTGGTTACAGAAAACAGCTGTTTGTCCAATCTGCAGAGCAAGTGCCAAATCAATATTAGAAACAGAGGAACAAAGGAATGATTCTAGTGAAGTTGCTCTTGAAATGACTTAAAAGATGGTAACATTTTTTTTTTGTTTTTCTGTTCGGTCGTGTTCTGGGAGAGAACTAAAAAAGTGTTTGATTTACATCATAATTTATGGGGAAAATTAAGAGAAAAGTATTTTTCCAGATATTTCTTGCTAGTGTTGATTGCTTTCCATAGCCATGTTCATGTAGTATGAATTATTTTATTTTATTTTTCAAAATTGTAATAATTTGTTTCATTATAATTAATGCTATCAGCTATTAATTGCTTTTGTTATTCTACTTCTAGAAATAAAAAAGATAGGGCCCGGAGAGAGTGACCTTCCCCATTAGTTGCCATTTGCCAAGAAAAAAATTAAAAAGATATGTACAGTGGTGAATGAGGTTGTTTTTAAAAAAAAAAATTAAAGATCTCGGTTTTGAGTTTTAGATATGAAATTTTTTTTTGATGAGAAGCGATTTTACTCAAATGGTGCCCTACATCGCAGAAATTAGATTAGTTGAACTCCAATACACATATCGAACACCAAATGAAAAAGAAAAAAAAGTTAAAAGACAATACTTATCCGCATTTTGGCCTGCCTCATTAGTGTATAAGATTTTCACACTATCAAACTAGATAACTTGCACCAACAAATAAATTTTAGTAGCAAGTCTGATACTGTTACATAAAAAGTAAGGAATAATGATTCTACACTTATAAATGCATATATGTTAACTTAAAAATGCATACTTCATTATTTAATCATATTTATTACTATATATTAATTTATCACTTAAACATGATAATTTGGTGTATACATCTAGTTGAGTTATTTTAGTCAAATATACAATCGACTAAATTGTTTGGAATAGTGCTTTATCGAAGCAAGATATATGTGAGTCATGGATGAGAGATTTTTTGAAAGTTATATCGAATTTTTGGGAGCTTAAGATTAATAATCTAATCATTAGTTTTGTTGATCATACAATGAGGCCTGATTAATTGTCATAGCTTTCGTTCTAAGTGTGTCTAATGTCTAGCAATTGACAATAATTAGTTATTACTTGTAATAATGGGAAGATAACTTCATATCTATGTATTTACACTATGTGCGTGCGTGTGTTCGCTTTTAGGTTATTTCATTCATTTTCCATATCATACTTGATCTAAAGAGTTATGTGTTATAATGAATTAACTGAATTTGATGATATAAAAAGTAAATTTCCAACGCTCGCTTATTAACTTTTTCCAAAATTTCTATGAGAAAATTTCAAAAAATGTTCAACATTGTGTTCAGCCCATTCTGTGCCCTTTAGAGAATTTGATGATGAAAATGGCCCAACTAAAATAAGGGGTTAGCTCTGTGTTGTGATGAGAAGAGGCCCATTTCTGATTATACTATGGAGCTAGTGGCCAATTCTGAAAAGGTAATAACAATACACATTAATTTTTATGTAATCTTGTATAAATAATGGTGGTTCATTAATGTGTATTTCTATATCAACTTATCGTTTCATCATCGTAGTAAAGTTACGGTGCGAAAAGATATATTTACACGCAAAAGTAGAAATCAACAATTCGCAAGTTTGTACATTTTAAGATGTCGTTTTGTCTTCATCACATTGATATAAGAAGAATTGTAGCTTATAATATTGATAGTGTACTTTTTGAATATTTGAATTGTAATTTAAAACATCGAATTAATCCACTTCAATTCTATTTCAAAGATTAGTCAAATTGACTCTTGCGAAGCGAAACATGACAACTAATATGAGAGATACGCAAAAATATATTTAATTCAATAAACACCGTTGGGAGACTATACATACTATCATTTGTTTGTTTTGATATGCCTTGTATATCTTGTCGCAGTTTACCTTCTATTAAACATGAGATATGTTTTTGTTCGAGTTGATTCATAAGATGGTCACTCAGCTAATAGTTTTTATTTCAAGAAATTATCTTTCTTCCTTTTTTTTCCCAACAATTTAAAGAAAATAATTTTTTGAGATATATAATGACTATTTAATTGAGTGACCATCTCAAAAATCTACCCGACTTACAATGTCTTCTAATTGTAAGTATAAGAGTTGAACAACAAGACAAATTTAATAAGTCGCCATAGTTGTATGAGATATGCCGTGAGCAAGACTGAAATCGACTCACTAAAAATGTACAATTGATTTAGATTATCCATTTATGAAGAATAGTAATATTGACGTAAGAAAAATCCATTTCTAATAGATCGTTTTATATTTTAAAAAAATAAAAAAATCAAATATATATATTTCCCACCGACTTTTAAACATTATTTGGTTCAAAACTAGATTGGGGAAGTATCATTATTTTAAATTTTGGGTCAGGCAAATAACAAGATCACCTTGACTTAGCTAGAATTTGTGTTACAAGTTTGACTATTTCTTCCATGCTTATGATATTGAGTTAAATCTAGTAGCAAGCGCAATCCTTATGTTTAGTTAGGGATAACAAGACTCCTATTTCCTCATTTAGGGTTGCTTTCGAAAACGCGAACACAAGTGATGCAGAATTATCCTCATATTGAGTTAAGTCCCGTAGGCTGTAACTAGCACAATCCTTATGTTTTGTTGGGAATCGCATGACTTCTAGAACCGTCAAGATGGGCTAGGCCTGTTGGGCCGGCCTGGCCTAACCCGGGATTTAATAGGGCTGGGCTAAAAATTTTGGAGTCCATTTAAAAAAAGGGCTTTTTAGCCCGGCCTGAATAAGCCTGTTGATTTGTGGGGCTTGAGAAATATAGGTAGGGCCGGCCCGTGGGCTAATACAAATTAATTAAAAAATATAATATAATATTAAAATTTAAAATTAAAGAGATCCAAACTCAAAATCTATTTAAAGATTTTTAGGAAATCACTAAGTATAGAAGTTGCATCCACCATGAAAATGTCCAAACACTTGTTGCTACTCGAAACTGATTACATGGTTTTTCTCAAACTGGTAATATATTTTTGTGTACATTTAAATATTATAATTCTCAATTTAGTTATTTTTTAATATTTAACTAATTGAAACCACATATAAATTGCATATGAAAATGAAGATGTTAAGACAACCTTCCCACAAGTTGATTCAGATATGCTTGATGAAGATGATCATGAAATGTTAGATACGTCATAGGTTTCATGAAGTGTTAGATAAGCCATAAGTTTCATGATTTTTTAAGGAGTTTATTTTTTACATTTTTATGGTTGGAATATTGTCATATTTTTTGTGTTTTATTGTGATCATTGCAAAACAGTTAGGTTAATATTTCTATTTAGATATTTATACTTTTACTTGAAAAAAAACTTAATAAATATTATAAAGATAATTTTATTTGTGGATTTGATTAACAAGTAGTAACATTAACACTATGAATATTGTTTTGTCGATATTTATGATAATATTTTTAAATTATAATTTATAATTTAATTTAATAATTATAAAAAAATATATAACTTTTAAAAAAG